AATGGACAGCAGAGAAGAGAGCGGAGAGAGACGTCGGACAGTGTAACTTATGACAAAACTATAATAATTTATAAATTATGAAGGTTTCAGGAGGGAGAGGGGAAATGAGCAAACGAAATTGAGGGCTAAAGTAGAGGGAAAATGTTTTGAGATTGATGAGGGCAACAGGTGTACATATGTGTGAGACTCAATGGATGGATGTATGGACTGTGGTAAGAATTGTATGAGCCCTCAATAAAATAATTTAAAAAACAACAACGAGGGTAACAAATGTACAAATGTAATTTATACAATTGACTTATGTATGGATTGTGATGAGTTGTATGAGCCCCCAGTAAATTGACTTAAAAAAAAAAGAAGGCAAGTTACAAGGACTAACCTAGTCAAACATGACTAAATGAAACAATGAAAGACAATGTATCTTCAAACTTCCAGTTCATTTCTGCTAAGCTTTACTTTAATGAGAATTTAAATGACTAGGTTTCAGATTACTTTACCTGTACTTCATTCCAAATGTTTCCATAATATAGGCAATAACAAAGGCAGCACTGAAGAAGAGAAAAAAAATTCAGGAAAAAAAAACCATAACATAAATCAGAGGAAAAAATTAAAATCCGTAACTTCCTACCTCCTCGAGATCCCCGCATTTCCATGGACAAGAACTTTTCCTGAGAAAGGGGAGTGGAAGGAAGAGAGGAAAGTTATTGATAGAAAAACACCTGTTTAACGACTAAAATATAGTGAAAATAGTATATTACACCATAGTAAAAATAAATATTGTCTTAAATATTTGACATAAATATAACTGTAACAATATTTCTTGAAAGTAAACATCAGGTAAGTAAAGTAAATATCATTTACCTCCAGTTTGTAAGCTCCCATCAATAAATTCTTTAGTCTGAGGGGCAAAAGACAATGGGTTATAATAAAACATGTATCAACATGTGCCATAAAATACAAAAAAAAAAAAAAATACAAAGAGAAGCCCCACTATGAGACACAACATCCCTCACTGGCCCATAGCCCTACAGGGGACAACACTAGAGACGCAGTGTGGGAATTGCGCCTGATCTGGCCCTACCACACCGAGGCAAACCACTAAGGGTGTGCAACAGCACAGCAAGGGGAGCAGAGCAAGGAAGTTCTGAGGGAGTACCAAAAATAGGCTTTGGGGCCAGGGCGTGGCATCCTATCAGACTCAACTGGAGAACAGTCCTAAAGGTCAACAGACAGACCTCGAGCTATTTATTGGTTTTTCTTTTTTTGTGTCTTTGTCTTTGTTTTCTTTTGTTGATTTGTTTTGCTCTGTCTTGTTTTTGTACATATTTTTATCTCTGCAGGTCTATCTAGATAAGATAAGCTGAAAAAGCAATCTGGAGGAGAAAACAATGGGACTGACAGTTCCAGGGGGACTTGGGAGAGGGGAAGGTAGGAGAAAGGAAGTGGTGTTAACCAACTAGGGACAAGGGAACAACAGTGATCCAAAATCAGTGATGAGGAGGGTGTAATAGGCCTGGCAGGGCTCGATCAAGGGCAATGTAACTGAGAGGAATTACTGAAACCCAAATGAAAGCTGAGCATGATAGTAGGACAAGAGGAAAGTAAAAGGAAACAGAGGAAAGAACCAGGAGGCAATGGGCATTTATATTTAAATATAGGCATGTGGGCAATGAATGTACGAATAAGAGTTGTATGAGCCCCTAATAAAATGATTAAAAGAAAAAAAACAAAAATAAATAAATAAATAAAATAAATACAGGCATGTACATATGTAAATATATTTTCTAATGATGATGGGGAAATAGATCTATGTACATATATTTATAGGTTTAGTATTAAGGTAGCAAATGGACAATGAGCCTCTACTCAAGTACTCCCTCAATGCAAGAACACTTGGTTCTAGTTTACTGGCATTTCATGATGCTCACCTTCCCAACATAATAGCTGAAGACAAAGAGGGTATATAAGCAAGTGTGGTGAAGAAAGCTGATGGTACATGGCTGTCAAATTATATAGCATCTGGGGTCTTAAAGACTTGAAGGTAAACAAGCGGCCATCTAGCTGAGAAGCAACAAAGCCCACATGGAAGAAGCACAGCAGCCTGTGTGATCACGAGGTGTCGATGGGATCAGGCATCAAAGAACAAAAAAATCATTATCATAGAGAATGTGGGGTAGTGCAGAATAGAGACCCAAAGCCCATCTGTAGGCAACTGGACATGCCCTTACAGAAGGGTCACAGGGAGGCGATGAGCCAGTCAGGGTGCAGGGTAGCAACAATGAAACGTACAACTTTCCTCTAGTTCTTAAATGATTCCCCGACCCCCACCCCCACTATCATGATCCCAATTCTACCTTACAAATCTGGCTAGACCAGAGGATATACACTGGTACAGATAGGAACTGAAAGCTCAGGGAATCCATGACAGATGAATCCCTCAGGACCAGTGGCGAGAGTGGCAATACCAGGAGGGTAGAGGAAAGGTGGGGGTAGATAGGGGGAACCCATTACAAGGATCTACATATAACCCCCTCCCTGGGAGACGGACAACAGAAAAATGGGTAAAAGGAGATGTCGGACAGTGTAAAATAAGACAAAATAATAATAATGTATAAATTATCAAGGGTTGATCAGGGATGTGGGGTGGGGTGGGGAGGGAGGGTAAAAATGAGAAGTTGATACCAAGGGCTCAAGAAGAAAGAAAATGTTTTGAGAATGATGATGGCAACAAATGTACAAATGTGCTTGGCACAATGTATGTATGTATGGATTGTATTAAGAGTTGTACGAGCCCCCAATAAAATGATTAATAAAAAGAAACTAAAAGTAGTATGAAGGAATTGATGTTTTACTAACATTATGCTTTAGAACTACAAGTAGAATATCAAATCATAATTAAAATTTAAATGGTATTAAAAGCTTGATACCTACCATTGGGAAAAAACGTATTATATTTTCAACTGGATTATCTGCAATATCCAAGACTAAATATCTGGAAAGAGATAAAACTCTGTTTATGTATTAAAAAACTGAAAATTTCTTGGAAACATAAATATTAAAAAACAAGCAGAATACATTCCTTAGACCAGAGTGGACCCACAAAAAAAAAGTCTTAGTCACATTTACTGTTACTCTTCTATTTCTACCAATTTTTCTAGGACCAGAAGATTCTTCTCAAGGTGGCCCTATGACCACTTCTCACAATCCTACAGAAGACAATTGAGATGAAGGCCAAACATCTCAAAGATACTCATAAAATAGAAGGCAGAGGTTTGATGAAACACCCATTGTTTGCTAAAAGACCACCTGCCCTGGAATTTTATACTTTGGAAAACATGTCCAAAAAGGGCATTATTATTAACATGCAAAGCATATTTTATTGTGTGAAAAACAACCCATGTCTAACCTCCCCAGGACTATCAATGTATTAAAACAAACTAATTTTAAAGTCATCATCCTTCAAAATGTATGGTTCTTTAATAATCATTAAAAATCAAAAGAAAAACACAACATGCTATTGAGTCACTTTTGACTCATAGCAACCCTATAAAGCAGCGGTTCTCAACCAGGGGGCCGCGACCCTTTGGAGTTTGAACAACCCTCGCACAGGGGTCCCCTGATTCATAGTCGCAAAATTAGTTATGAAGTAGCCACAAAAATAATTTTACGGTGGGGGAGGGTCACCACAACATAAGGAACTGTCTTAAAGGGTCGCAGCATTAGGAAGGTTGAGAACCACTGCGCTAAATCTTCTAGAGGAGCAGATACCCACATATATCTCCCTCAAAACATCTGGGGAGCTTGAGTTACTAAAGTAATACAATGTTTACTCAATACCGCTACCAGGGATCCTAATAATCACAATAAATTCAAGGCTTATGACAGAAGAAATTAAAGCTCAGGGAAGATCAGTAGAAAAACTACAAATATTAAAACCCTGTTTCAAAAAAATTAATTCAGAATCAAATGAAATCATTCTAATTCATGTCACCTTGACTGTCAAGAACTCTTAGTCTACTAAGTCTAAGGAGAAAGGGTCCCTTCACTAGGAAAAAGAGCCTGCATCAGAACATTAATGACTGAAAACAAAAATTCTTTACAAATTGTGAAGGTATAGCATAGCCTTTTAAAAGATATTCTCATTTTCTTTATATATATATGTACATTTATACACACAGACAGAGCAGAGAAAGATTTAGAAAGAAATATACCAAAATGTGAATTAATATTTTCTCTGGACCATGGAATTATGAGTGAATTCTAAAAATTTTTTTGTTTCATTCTCTATTTTCAAAAATATTTACAAAAAACTTTTTTTTTTCAAGTAGAAAAATCTCAATATATTTTATATCAGATTATTGATGCTTTCCCCTTTCAGAAGAAAGTAGTGTCAAGTTTCTGTTAGTCCAGAAATATTCTAAGTTTATATATACATATATACACATATATAAAAAAACATTTGTTCTGCATCTTGTTTTTGATGTAATAAGTCTTAAAGACAATTCCATAGCAACACACAATTTATTTTGGTGTTTATATAGTATTCTACTGCATATTTATTACGTAAGACATCTAAGAGAAGAGTACACTGTAGAACATTTAGGTTGTTTACATTTTTCCTAACAATAACTCACAGGTTGTACACAGAATATTTGGTAGAATGATATTCAAGTAAAAGTTAATAGAAGCTGCCTCTCTGGAAGAAAACTTTTGTATTACAGCCCATAACCCAGGATAAAGCGTCAAAATACCAAAACACTTAAACCCACTGCCATCAAGGCGCTTTCAACTCAGCGACCCTGTAGGACAGAGCAGAGCTTGCACTTGTAGGTTTATAAGTCTTTAAAGAAATAGAAAGTTTCAACTGTCTCCCACAGAGTGGCTACTGGTTTCTAACTACTGACCTGGCAGTTAGCAGGCCAAGGCATAACCAACAATGCCTCCAGAGGATAAAGTATAGGTATCTGCTTTTGCTGAGCCTGCGCCCTGTCCCCCTCCCAATCCATCCTCTTCAAAGTGATTGCTTCAAGGCCCTAATCGAGAGCAGCGGTTCTCAACCTGTGGGTCGCGACCCCTTTGGGGGGGGTTGTCAAATGACCCTTTCACAGGGGTCTCCTAATACATCCTGCATATCAGATATTTACATTATGATTCATAACAGTAGCAAAATTATAGTTATGAAGTAGCAACAAAAATAATTTTATGGTTGGGGGTGACCACAACATAAAGGGTCACAGCATTAGGAAGGTTGAGAACCACAAGAAGGTGGTAATACCCACTTTGGGAAACAATGATCTAGGTGCATCTAGGTGATTAAAATGAAAAGACAAGTTTACTGACATTTAGTCAACTCTGACACTAGTGATGAGAAAATCAACTTTTCAGTATACATTTTTTGTACCTTTTGAATTCTGATCAAGTGTTTGAATCACCAATTTTAAAGTTTTTTTTAATTAAATATATTTTAAATTATGTATGGTGTGACCTATCTTTACAAAATAGAGATGTGCAGAATAACCTTATAGTATAAACTTGAAATAAAAACATTAGACATTTGCTACCATTAACATTTTTATAAATCACAGCAATAATTCTTACCTAAATAATTGTTGAAAGTTTGGTTTAATAAAGTTTGCTTCAATATTTTGTCTTATGCATATTATATGGGTTATTCCATGTTTCTGTAGTATAGGTAGCTATAAAAAAAGGGGAGACATGAAAGTTTTAAAATAGAAAATATTTCACTGTAATGCAGCTGTTTCAAAATGCACTTGACTGAACATTAGAAATAATAGACACGAGAAAAATGAATGTAGAGAATTAAATGTTCATTTCATGATAGTTCTAATGTGATCAGCAAAATATTTCAATGGTTCAAGATTAATAAAGCCAATCCTTGAATGCCACAGGAGTTTAAGGGTGGTGGTTCACTCATGCTGTAAAAATCCACATATAACTTTGACTCCCTCAAAATTTACCAATAATTCATTCACTGATTCACTGCCATCATGACAATTTTGACATATTGTGACCTTAAAAGACAGGGTAGAACTGCCCCTGTGGGTTTCTGATGCTAACTCTTTACGTGAATAGAAACCTAGTCTTTCTTTCAAGGAGGGCTAGTTTTTGACCTACTGACCTTGTGGTTAGAAGGCTTTGTAGTCATGATGCCACTAGGACATGACCAGTCAATTAACATATAGCTTAGAAATAAGCTATATGTATTACACAAGGGGCTACCCAAAAAAATACCAGAATTGCACTGGGCAGAGCAGAGCTTTCATAGTATGCATGTTTCCCAGTAGGTGAGCATCAAACAACTCACTCTGAGTTGGTGCAACCAGTGACGTAGCTTGGGATGGTTCTCTCTGGTCACAGAGAATTTTTTCATAAAAGCAATTTCACTCAAACCTCGATTTTTGTGATGGCCGATTTAAGAGAACAGCATGTGGCTGTGAAATTTTGTTTCCTGCTTAGGAAAAATGTCCCAGAAACTGTTGTGATGTTGAATGGTTTACAAGGACAGCGCTATAAGAAAAACTCGAGTACTGTACATATGAGTGGTTTTCTCGTTTCAAAAAAGGTGAAATGTTAATTGAATGATAAACCTCCTTCTGGACATCTGTCAACCTCCCTAATGGACAAAAATGTCAACTCACAGTGCATTTGGAGTTCGTTCCACCAGGTCAGACTGTTAATCAAACTTTGTATTTAGAGGTTCTGAAAAGATTGCATTAAAAGTGTGGGACAAAAAAGGCCTAATTTGTGGCAGACCCGGGGGACTGGTTTTGCCATCACAACAATGCACCTGCTCACACAGCCCTTTCAATGTGCCAGTTTTGGGCAAAAAACAGCATGCCTCTCTTGCCCGAGGCACCTGACCTTGCTCTGAGTGACTTCTCTGTTTCTACTAATGAAGAGGGTTAGGAAAGAACAGCAATTTGAAGATGTAGAAGAGGTAAAGAAAAAAATGGGAAGTGCCGTCAGCCATCCAAAAGATGAGCTTGAAAATAATGTTTCCATGAATGAAATCGCAGATTTGACATACATATTACATTAAGTGTAATGGAGAGTACTTTAAAGGTGACAAGTTTGTTTCGTAAAAAAAATTTTAATGCATAGCTTTTGGGCGGAAAAAAGTATGGTTCTTTTTGGGTACCCCTTCATAAACTGCACTCACATAAGCAGTACACTTTCAACACAAGATAAAAGCGTATTTTGCAAAGAGCAAAAAACTTCACAAATTTCCTTTAAAAACAAAACAAAACAAAAAAAGATTCTTTTTTAATCATTTTATTGGGGCTCGTATAGCTCATATCACAATCCATACATCCATCCATTGTGTCAAACACATTTGTACGTATTTTGACACCATCATTTTCAAAACATTTTCTTTCTACTTGAGCCCTTGGTATCAACTCATTTTCCCCCTCAATAATAATGATTCTTCAGCTGGATTTATTTATGTTGAAATGGTAGAACACCTCAGCTGCACACTGCAAACTATGGTACATATCAAGCAATTCAACTTTTCCTTATAATGCTCTAACTTTGCTTCTTGAGAGCCCTTCCAGCATCACCAATGGCAACTCATATGCATCCTATGACTTATGGTATTATATTAAAGCTGATGGAAAATACAAAAGAGCAGTGAGAGATCGCTTTTCCTGCCATATGCAATTTACAGAAGAAACAAACTGCTCGTGCAATGATGAGTGTCACATACCATTAAAAAGTCTGCATGTAAGTGGACTGTGCAGTTTAAATCTGCATTATCCAAGAGTCAACTTGTATAGCACATGCACTTAAAGGTTTTTTAGAAAACACACCACACTCACTGCCAGAGAGTAGATTAGAACTCATAGTGAGCCTGGTGGCGTAGTGGTTGCAAGTTGGGGTGATCACTCAAAAGGAAAGCAGCTCAAAATCACCAACTGCTCCATGGGAGAAAGACAGGGCTTTCTACTCCTATAAAAAGTTAACCTGGAAACTCCACAGGGGAGTTCTACTCTGCCCTACAGGGTTACTAAGAGTCTTAAAAGGAATATACTTTTCACAAAACATTTTACGATAAACACAATTTGTTTGAGAAACAGTACTACATAGTGGTTAAAAGCTGGGGCTTTGCAGTTAAGAAGTTTAGGTTCCAAATTCTATCTCTGCCAATGAGCCAAGTGAGCTCTATGGCTCAGTTTCTTTGTATGAAAACAGTGGAAATACTACCTATAGATAATTATAGGTAAAGTGGTTAACATAGAGCCCGCCACATTGCAAGTGTTTCTAGTGAATGGTAATTATATACATAGAACTTTATTCTTTAGAGGAGATAACGAAGACAAAGATCACTTAAATGACTAAATAGCTCAATACAATTGACCCAATTAATGACAACACCAGAGCTCAAATATCTAGACTATTTTGTACGCTTCTAGTGCACTTTTCTAAAAGGCAGAATATTATATAACTCAAGGACTCTATCAGTCACTCACTGTTTCAAAATATTCCTAATGTTAAGTGTCCATTCCAAAGATACTATAGTCCATAGTATTTTCATTGACTCAGTATTTAAAGCAATTTAACTTGACAATCTTAGAAATTATCAATAAATATTTTTGCCAAGTAATTATAGGTTTCACTGAGTTTGTGAATACCATGATATTTCATTGGCTAGAATGTAAATTCCATGACAGCAAGGATTTTTGTTTGTTCACTCACTCCTATGAAGTATTAATATTAAGTACCATACAAAATAGGTTTTCGATAACTATCTGTTCAATAAATGAAAATTCATGCTTGACTGAACACAAATTTAATAATCTTGTATTTTTCTACAACATTTGTAGTTTATAACACTCTATATTTAATTCCAACATTCTACATTAAATAGTCTAAATTGAATTTAAATTAATTAAATTAATTTAATTAAAATTAATTAAATTAAAATTCATGAGATGTCAAACAATTTTATGGATTTCAAAAGTTTTAAATGTTAAAATGTTTTTCAGCAAATTTTCCTACATTGGTATACTCCTGTCTTTCCAAAGTACATTCTAAGCTGAAGAAGGGAAGTAAGGGTTTAAATGAGGATTAAACATCAGCCATTACTCCATATTTATATTTATGACAAACCTCAAAAATGAACTCAATATTCACGCCTATGTTGACACATGATGATCTATGGTAATGTTAGCTTATCTACTTAAGAGGATATATATAATTATAGATTACAACGGTTTTAATAAGATGAAAACAGACTATTACTAAGTAAAAACACAAACTTCATCAAGATAGAGCCCTAGGCCGAGGCTACCCAGCATGATGGGTGTGACAGGTACACCTCACACAGTGGCCCTGGCTCCCCAGGCAGCCGAAATACACACACACACACACACACACACACACAGCCCTAATGTAATATTCAGTGCTATCAAATTGATGCCAACTCATAGCAATCTTATAGGGTAGTCTGCAAAGGCCCCTGTGGGTTTCCAAGACTGTAACTGTTTACAAGAATAGACAGCTGCCGGGGAGGAGATGAGCCAGTCAGGGTGCGATGTAACAATGATGAGAAATACAACTTTCCTCTAGTTCCTAAATGTTTCCTCCCCGCTCCCACTACCATGACTCGAATTCGACCTTGCAAGTCTGGCTAGACCAGAGGATGTACACTGGTACAGATAGGAACTGAAAATACAGGGAATCCAGGACGGATGAGCCCTACAGGACCAGTGGTATGAGTGGCGAAACAGGGAGGGTAAAGGGAGAATGGGTAGGAAAGAGGGAACCAATTACAAGGAACTGTGTGTGACCTCCTCCCTGGGGGACAGACAACCGAAAAGTGGATGAAGGGAGACGTCGGACAGGGCAAGATATGACAAAATACCAATTTATAAACTATCAAGGGCTCATGAGGGAGGGGGGAGCGGGGAGGGAGGGGGAAAAATGAGGACCTAATGTCGGGGGTTTAAGTGGAAAGAAAATGTTTTGAGAATGATGAGGGCAATGAATGTACAAATGTGCTTTACACAATTGATGTGTGTATGGATTGCGATAACAGTTGTATGAGCCCCTAATAAAATGTTTATTAAAAAAAAAAAAAGAATAGACAGCTGCATCTTTCTCTCTTGGAGTGGCTGGAGGTTCTGATCACAGCCCAACACATAACCGCTACGCCACCCTTAACATAAGTAGCAAGCATACATAACATTTCATATTTTTAGTGGACATTTATTATATAAAGCAAATGACTTTATCTATACTTAACACAATAAAGAAATTTTATGAAAAGAAATAGCTAACTAGTTGCAAAAAGCTTAAATTTATCTCTTATTAAAACTCTCACCTTTCTCCCACTGACCTTATTGTCTACAGTCTAACACTTAACCAAACTGCATCACTAGTACTTCTAACTTACGTATACTGTCTTCAAAATAACCAAAGTTTGGAGAAAACATCTTAAGAGACTCAAACTTCAGTGTCATCGAGTCTATTCCAGCTCATAGTGACCCTAAAGGACAGATCAGAACTGCCCATTTGGGTGTCCCTAAGCTGTAAATGTTTATGGAAGCTGAAAGCCTCATTTTATTTTCTAAGGAGTGGTTGGTGGTTCATGATAACGAACTGTTGACCTTATGGTTAACAGCCCAACTCATAACCCATGGAACTAGTAGTATTATAATAAGCAAAGAAGCATTACCATGGGTTGAATCATCAAGTAAGTCACAACAACATCGCTACATATTAAAATAAGACTATCATTTTAACTGTTTAGCTGACCCAAACCCAAATCCAACTCACAATCCAAGACTAAAACTTTAAGGGCGCATTCAGCCTCATCTTTCTCCCACAAGGGAGCCTGTTAGGTTTAAAGCAGCCTTTATTTCAGTTAACTTTACAGGACATTTACAAGGGTACTTCAAAAAGTTTGTGGCAAAATTCCATTCTTTATTTCCATATTCCACGAGCTTTTTTGACGTCCCCATGTATATATGGGGCACTGCTTTCTAACTAGGGGCACCCAGAACTCCTAACATCTGCAAAAACAGAAATGAGATTTGAGTGACTTTCAAGGAACACATATACTCAACCTTAATGAGGAAAGATGGATAATTAAAATGTTAAGCTTCTTTATTTGGGGCTTTAACTGTGTCTCATTTTTCAGAAGCTATGATGAGTAATTATAGCTATCTAATATTTCAGAGAGGAAATAAAGCATTAAATAAGTCAGTTGTTCAGTAAATCTCTCAACCATAGATTTCAAAAGATAAACCTGCTAAGACCTGGTTTGTAATTAGTAGGGATTCCTGCGAACCACTGATCCTGTAAAACGCAGGAAAAAAAGGATATTCCAGAGAGATGAATAATATTAACAGCTGTTTCTGAGGGCACACTCTAAAATTGAACTATTACTACTAAAAACACTTCAGCAAAGTTGGTTAGTAAAGTCTGGTAAGCCGAAATTTCATACCTTGCTTTTCATAGCAGAAGAATATGGACCTAAAAACAATCCAGGTAAAATTTCCTAGGGGGGAAAAATAGAGATTTACTGTCAGTAAATTCAATCTACACTTTCTCTCATAAAACCGAGTCTTGCTGGTATTTCCCCAGTTAATATAATTTGCTTAAATTATTATTTAGGCAGAGTTTCCTAGGCATACTGAACAAAACATTGGCAAGAAAAATGCAGATGTGCCTTATAATTATAAAATGAGACATTCAAAAGTTTCATATAGTTTTAGAAAGTCAGAAATTGAGCATCCCTAGTGTTTTTTACAAGATTTTGATAGAAGATATTGTATTGTGGCCTTTAGATTAATAAAAGGCAAAAGCTGATTCCAACTCACAGCAACTCTGTTGGACAGAGTGAAACTACCACCCATCAGGTTTTCAAAGCATAAATCTTCAAGGAAGCAGAATATCGCAGTTTTCTTCTGCACAATGGCTGGTGGGTTCCAACCGCCAACCCCTGGGCTGGCAGCCAAGTACTTTAATCACTGCACCAACAGGAGACCTTAGATTAATAAATCCTCTTTAGATTTTAATTCTCTCTTATGTATGGTTTAGAAATAAAATAGTCATAAAGGAAAAAAACTCCTTGGAATTACACAGTACCTTTTCAGTCAAACCAAAGAAGCATTAAGATATAGCAGAATTAAAATTATCATTAATAGAATGTTATAATCACAAAGTTTTAAAAAATTGCTTAGTATCAAATTTTTGTCTCCAGATTTTTAACCAATTGAAATAATTACCTATTCAATGCAGAGTTCACATTTATTCTATATAACTGAACATAGAAAATGCTTCTAGTCTGCATATATCATATCCCAGATATTAATATAGTATAATCAAGTAGTTAGTTTTGTAAAGCTGTTGAGTCTATTCTGATTCACAGCAACCCTGTATGTGTCAGTACAACTGCTCCTCCAAGTTTCCAGTGGTGCATTTTCAGAAGCAGATTGCTGGGTTTTCTCCTAAAGCAACCCTACACAGAGTCACACTGTCAGCCTGTATGTAGGTTAGCAGTAAAACACGTCAACTGTTTGAACCTCTCTGATACCAAAATAATTTGTGACTAGGTCTGATTTCTAAAAATTTCTTGGAAAATTACACTTTACTCATCTTTGCATTCTCCATAAACTCAAAAAATAAAGAATGCCTCACAAGTATTTACATATTTTGAAACAGTGAACTTTCACTGAGAATGGAAAACAGATTTTTAGATGTCAGGGGATTCCCAGAATTGGTGATAACACTTGATATGGGGGCTAGAAGAGTTGACTGTAAATGGTATGAAATGCAAAAGAAAAGTGAACTATGTGAGTTTAGAAGTTCTACTTCTACTTTACGGAAATGGCAGTAATTCATTTTCTAAATTCTCTTTAAAAAATACACAAAACCATTACTGGTCTCTTAAAAACATAATGCACATATTATATAGCTGTAATAAAACCAAACCAAACCCACTCCCATCAACTTGAATCTGACTCACAGCGACCCTCTATTTGGGTTTCCAAAGCTATAAATCTTTATGGGACCAGATAGTCACTTCTTTTTCCCACAGAGCACCTAGTCTGTCTTGAACACCCACCCATGTGGTTATTAATACAATATTAAAAGATTTAATTTTTTTCTATTCAGCTCTTGTCCTAGTATTGTAAACAAAATCTGGTTAATTAAATGAAACCTGCAGATCTATAAAAATACAAATCATTATTAGGATTGTTAGTTGTCATACAATCAACCCAACTCATAGGAACTCTATGAATGGCAAAATGAGATGCTGTCCCATCCAATGCCATCTTATCATAAAATAATCAACTTTAATACCTACAATATTTATTTTAAAGTATACTTGTAAGCAGCACGCTTTCCTCTTCCCCCTTTTCATTTAATACAACTAATCAATGGGCTTATTATATAATTTTTAATCCACCAAACAAAAAATAAAGAATCTATTATCTTCTTAGCATTAAAATTGGTGAATCACCACTTTCTTCAAAACAGCAATTTGACACAACTCACCTATAATGCACGAACCCTGGTGGCATTGTGGGTTAGGCATTGGACTACTAAATTCAAAGTCGATAGTTCAAACCCACCAGCCACTCTGTGGGAGAAAGATAAGACTATTTGCTCCTGCAAAGTTTCATACTTTCAGAAATCCTATAGATGGTTGCTATGAGTTGAAATCAATTCAACTACATTGAGTTAGGGTTCTTTGCTAAAGAAACCTGGTAGCATAGTGGCTAAACGATTTGGGTGCTAACTAAAAAGCTGTCAGTTTGAACTTACCAGCAACTTAAAGCTGTTTCCTAAAGATTCACAGCCGCGGAGCCCCTATGGGGCAGAATTCTACCCTATCCTATAGGGCTTCTGCAAGTCAAAATCTATTTGAAAGTAGGTTTTGTTCATTTTTCATACAACAAAAACACTTTTCTTAATTTATATTTGCCTTATTTGAAGCTAGACTAAAAATTCTATATTCAATACTTTTTGTTCCTTCTCCTGTCTTAAATCTTTCTCTTCCTATGTCTTTTCTTTTATCTCCTCATTCATTCTTGCCTGACTTTCCTCTTGCTGTACTTTTCACTATAAACTTAACTTTCTACTGTATAGCAAGACTGCTATACAGACTGCTCTAATACCTGCACTGATTTTCCAGTTTCAGTTCTTTGCTGTGCTCCTACATCCAAGCACTCTCTGTTCATGACCCTCTCCTTTTTAGAACTCATCCATCCACTTATGTGTCAAAAGTGGACATTATTACTGCTTCCAAAGTATTAATAGTCTTGTGCATGTTGAATCCCCAATGTCTGGCAGAATGTCTTCAAATAAGACATTTATTAAGTAGCTGTTAAATAATATGAAGAATGAAGGAATAATTAAATGCTTGGAATGAATATGAAAAGATTATGATTAATTGGATGAATAACTGGTAAAATTAAAATGCTTAAGCTTGAGAAAATAATTTATTCCTAACTGTAGCCAGAGCACTTAAATGCTAATGCTGTGTTAAGCTGTGTATAAATTATTTGTGAATGTTATGGCAACTCTGCACATTTTCCCATCTTTTTAAGATCCAAGATTAACCTTAAATAGGGAGTAATTTAAAAACTTAGTGATGAACCAAGACATCATGAGTCAGTAGGTCTCAAATCCTCTGTGAAATGAGGTCAAGTTATTTTAATAATGAAGATAATGATAATATAAACTGGCTTGAATAGAAAATTAACGTGTCATACCTGCATCTCTCGTCTCATTGGATAGGTCCACTCCTAAGGGGGGGGTGGGGAGAAAGAAAAACATAAGAAGTAAATAACAAATAAAATCACCAATTTTTAATATGACATACATGTGCAGAAACAATTCGCGTAACGAAAACTTGGAAATTTTTGTGTCAAGAAACAGATTAAAGCAAATATTGTTCTTCTAAGATTTTGATTATGTTACTGCTTACAATGAAAGGAACTCTAAAGTGTCTTTAACCACAGATATAGGGGGGGTCAGGATTTTTTTTTTAGAACTTTTATTTTGTTGTTGTTGCTGCTGGGTGCGGTTGACTAAATGTTAACTCATAGCAGGTCCATGTAACAGAGCAGAACTTCCCCTTAAGGTTTCTTAGGCTGTAATAATCTTTATGACAGCAGATCACCAGGTCTTTTCTCCCTGGTGCTACGGGGTTAGGTTCAAAATACCAACCATTCTTTTAGCAGCCAAGCACTAAACAGGGCACAACAGATGAGAATTAGGGGTTAGGACTTATAAGACATATTTTGGGGGAGGGAGGCACAATTCAATCCATTAATAGTATCCTTAATATTGAGCATAAATCTAATACCAAATTATTACACACTTGTTATGCATTTTAAAGACTCATGGAAATTTTTCAAGACTCTCAGTAGTTTAACAGCCAGCCTTACCCTCCCTCTAAACTAACCTATCAAGGCTGTGAGAGGGAAAAAAGCTGCTAACCCATATATTTTTTAGTTTACCTAAAATGAAATCATTATAACTATATATGGTAAAATCTAATTTACTTTTTTAAAAAGCACTCATGCCACAAGATGTTCTTTTTGAAATATCAAAATTCTAAACTTTCATAAGGTGTGAATCAGAGCTGACTTGACTGCAACTGTAACAAAACAATAGACCATAGGGCTGTCTAAGTATGTAAAATAGAGATTGCAGGAGTGAAGCGCATGCTACAAGGGAGAAAAAGAAAACTTACAGGGCAATTACTGAGGATTTTTGGTCAGATAACTGTGCAGCATAGGTAATAGGCATGGTTCCTTTAAAACCTAGAAAGCTTTCTCTCACAGAAAATTTCATTTGGAAGTATTGCTGGTGTTAACATCAAGGCCTGATGTCTTGTGGACCTAGCCCTGTTTCCAGCCTGCAGACCCAATCTAAAAATCTGTGATGCCTACTGATTCTGCATACCAGATCAAGATTTTAAAAGCCATTCATGACAACAGTCTTGATCTGCCAGGCTCCCATCCACCTGAAAAAATTTCCAATTCCCAAGTCTTACCTACATCACAATCTCAATCTGAGCCAGTCCAAGTTGCCTTTAAAAATGGCCAACAAACATATGAGAAGATGTTCCCGATCTTTAGCCATAAGAGAAACGCAAATTAGAACAACAATGAGATACCACCTAATACCCTCAAAGGTAGCCCAGTTCAAAAAGTCAGAAAGCAACAAGTGTTGAAGGGGCTGTGGGGAGACAGGAACTCTCATCCACTGCTGGTGGACCTGTAGGTATGTACAGCCACTATGGAAAGCGATCTGGCGATATCTAAAATAGATGGAAATCGAGTTACCATACAACCCAGCAATCCCCCTACTAGGCATATACCCAGAAGAGACAAGAAACAAACTAAAGCCAGACATCTGTGCTCCAATATTCAATGCGGCACAGTTCACAATTGCAAGGAGTTGGAAACAACCCAAATTTCCATCAACTGATGAGTGGATTAAAAAGCTGTGGTACAGCGCAGGGACAGGGGAGCAACCAGTGATCCAAAATCAGTGGCAAGGAGGGTGTAGGAGGCCTGGTGGGGATTCAGCAAGGGCAATGTAACCGAGAGAAATTACTAAAACCCAAATGAAGGCTGAGCATGATAGTAGGGCAAGAGGAAAGTAAAAGGAAATAGAGGAAAGAACTTGGTGACAAAGGGTATTTATAGAGGTCTAAAGACTGGATATTGTACATATGTAAATATATTTATATAAGAGTGTGGGGAAACAGATCTACGTACATGTTTATAGGTTTAGTATTGGGGCAGCAGATAGACATTGGGCCTCCACCCAAGCACTTACTCAATGCAAGAACACATCATTCTATTAAATTGGCATTCCAGGATGCACACCTTCCCAACACAATAGCTGAAGAAAAATGTGTGCATAGGCAAATGTGGTGAAAAAAGCTAATGGTGCCCGGCTATCAAAAGATTTAGTGTCTGGGGTCCTAAAGGCTTGAAGATAAAACAAGTGGCCATTTGGCTAAGAAGCATCAAAGCCCACATGGAAGAAGCACACTAGCCTGTCTGACCACGAGGTATAAAAGGAACCAGTTATCAGACATCAAAGAACTAAAAATCTTATCAGTGGGTGCCCACCTTCCTTATACAATCAATGAAGACAAACGTGTCCATGGGCAAATATGGTGAAGAAAGCTGATGGTGCCTGGCTATCGAAAGATGTGGCATCTGCGGTCTTGAAGACTTGATGATAAACAAGTGGCCATCTACTTCAGAAGCAACAAAGCCCACATGAAAGAAGCACACCAGCCTGTGTGACCAGGAGCTGTCAAAGGGATCAGGTATCAAGCATCAAAGAACAAAAAATCATATCACTGTAAATGTGGGTGAGTGGAGACTCAAAGCACATCGGTAGGAAAGTGGACATCCCCTTACTGAAGGGTTGTGGGGAGGAGATGAGCCAGTCAGGGTACAGGATAGCAACGATGAAACATGTAACTTTCCTCTAGTTCTTAAATGCTTCCTCCCCACCACTATCATGATCCCAATTCTACCTTACAAATCTGGCTAGTCCAGAGGATGTACACTGGTAAAGACAGCAACTGGAAACATAGGGAATCCAGGACAGACGACTCCTTCAGGACCAGTGGTGAGAGGGTGGAGGGAATGCCTAGAGGGTGGAGGGAATGCCTAGAGGGTGGAGGGAATGCCTAGAGGGTGGAGGGAATGTCGAAAGGGGGAACCAATTACAAGAATCTACCTATAGCCTCCTCCCTGGTGAATGGACAGCAGAGAAGAAGGCGGGGGGAGATGTCAGACAGTGTAACATATGACAAAATAATAATTTATGAATTATGAAGGGTTCATGAGGGAGGGGGGAATGGGAAGGGAGGGGGAGTGAGCAGCCGATATAGAGGGCAGATGTTTTGGGAATGGTGATGGCAACAGGTGTGCATATGTGCTTGACACGGTGGGATGTGTGTATGGATTGTGATGGGAGTTGTGCGAGCCCCAAATAGAATGATTAAAAAAAACACTGTGGTACATAGATACAATGGAGTACTACGCATTGCTAAAAAGCAGTGATGAACGTATGAAGCACATTGCTGCGTAGGAAGAACTGGAGGAAATCATGCTAAGCGAAGTAAGCCAAGCACAAAGGGACAAGTACAACATGAGTCCGCTGAGGTAAGCTTTAACAAGCAACAATATACAACAAAACATCAGCAACAACAAACCAATGACAAAAAATAAAACAAAACACAAGAAAGAAAAGGTTGCCCCTCGCCCCATAAGAATTTATTTCAAAGGACGGCATTGAATCTGCAGCTCTGATTGTGGTGTACAACTTGACTGTACAACTCTTCTTGATGTGACTGAACTATTAAATTATATGATGTGAATTATATGCCAATGAAACTGTTAAAAAATAAAACAAAGAGCCCTGGTTGCACAGTGTTAAAAAGTCTGGCTGCTAGCCAAAAGATCAGTGGTCAAAATTCAGCAGTTGTTTCCAGAAGAAAGATGTGAGTAGTCTTCTTCTATGATCAAACCAAAAAGCAAACGTGCTGCCATCAAGTAGATTCCAACTCATAGCAACCCTACAGGACAACATAGAACTTCCCCTGTGGGTTTCTGAGACTGCAGCTCTTTACAGGTGTAGAAAGCTTCATCTTTCTCCTGTGGAGTGGCTGGTGTTAGCTGCTCAACTCTTAACCCACTATGACACCAGGGCTCCGCCTTTCCATAATTCTGCATAATGGTAACTAACTTAAACCTGGGCCAAGTTCTACTCTGTCTTGTAGGCTTGCTACTAGCGAATCAATTTGATGGCAGCAGGTTTGGCTTTAGTTTAGTGTTACTTTAAGTTTTGTTATTTGATATGATTGGAGGTGATAGTTAGGTTTCGTGTCAGGCAGGGAATGTTCAAAAAATTTTCCCATACAAATTTAATGGTAATTCACACTGCTTTGGCTTTATATTACTCTGATTTTGTAACTCATATTAATTTCCTTAATAAACCCCATGATCATGAATCCCTTCTAGGAGTTTGTTGTGTGTCTACTGCAATGAATTACTTAACCTAGCATAAAAAATTAAGGAACAAATGGGATCAAAATGGAACCTCTAGAAAGGAAGAGGGTGGAGACCTGCCTGACCCTGCCTGTGGCAATCAGCCTTGGGAGCTGGAGGTCAGATGCAGCCCCAATGCCATTTTCCAGGAAAGCATGAGAAAATCACCAAATCTGGGACATCTCAGGGAAAAAACCAACAACATGGTCTTTCTCCTCTAAAACAAACTAAAGTAAAAGTAGCTTCCTTTAGAATAAGTCACTTTCCTTTTGTTCCCATCCCTACCTCAACTTCTGCTTAACCCTAAGCAAGAGCTAGCAGCAAAAACTTGCAATGAAACAAAAATCACAGTACTGGGGTAAATGGAGAAGCACAGGGAAATTCAAGTAAAATGACCAGTCCAATTAAATCAGAATCTGTGGTGATAGGACACGGGCATGGATATTTTTTTTCAAAGCTCCTCTGGTGATTCTACTCAACAATCAGTTAAAAATCACCATTCATGAAGGAGCAAGAGATCCTCAGTCAGATATATAACACAATTCAATAGTGTAACTGTTAAGGAAGATACATATAAGTAGGCAATCCAGTGCAATTGGTCATCTGGTGATGAGGTGCAAATATGTGCGCAGGCAAAATTAAGGGAAAATTCTTAAAAGGAAATGATGCCTAAACTGAGATCTAATCCAAAAGTAACAGGTAATTAGATGAGGGCAAAG